GTCACCCTGCAGGGGGACCCTCCTCTTCGTGGGACGGCCAACTTGTCTGAGACCCTCCGAGGTAGATGCCCCTCAGCCTAGCCCAAGCCCACAACTGCCCCCAGGGCCCCAAGCCCACTCCTCCCCTTGCTGTTTGCTCCAGGCCTGAATTTTCTGGAATCTAGTTCCTGACCATCCTTCCCAATCACAAGGCACCTGGATGTGCTGGTCACTCACCTGTTTTAACGGCAGCTGCCAGGTGAACACCTGCCATGTGCCAAACTCGAAGCTAGGTCGTGTCGTCTACTTTACCAATAGCAGCTCCAGTTACTGAGCACCTACTCTAAGCCCAACCCCTGCCTGCTTGGTGATTTCATTTATTTTGCTACAGTTATTTTGCTCCCACTGTATGCCAGGGGCTGTGATTCTTGATTTCACTCATTATGACCCTAATAGGAGCTAACAGTCCCTGAGCACCTACTGTGAGCCTGGCACTGTGTTTTGTGATCTTATTCACATGAAAAGAGCACCCTGAGTGTTTGAGTGCCTGCTGCATGCCTAGCACTGTCCTGGTGATTCCCGTCTGTGATGGGAGCTAAGTTATGGAGCCCTCCTCTGTGATCTGTCTGTTCCGTAAGGTCAGAGCTTCTGCCCTGTGCTGTTTCAGTTCCGCCCACCTTGGAGGTTTCCCAGCACCCCACGGCAGGGAACCTGGTGAACGTCACCTGCCAGGTGAACAAGTTCTACCCCCGACACCTAAAGCTGACCTGGTTGGAGAATGGAGACGTGTCCCGAACAGAAATGGCCTCAACACTCATAGAGAACAAGGATGGCACCTTTAACTGGACGAGCTGGCTCCTGGTGAACTCATCTGCCCACAGGGAGGATGTGGTCCTCACCTGCCAGGCGGAGCATGACAGGCAGCCGGCGGTCACCAAACACCAGACCCTGGAGGTCTCTGCCCACCAGAAGGAGCAGGACACAGGTGGAACCCCTGGTGATGCCTCCACTCCAACTGAGCTGTCTCTTAAAATTTTATCTTTTTTAGATATTAAAATTAGTCATTAATGCATATTTTAAAATAATCTAGAAGTTTATAAATATAAAGCACAACTTGGAAGTGAGCTAGCCTCTCCCAAATCAAACACTCAGAGAGTCACCACTGGTAAGAGTTTGGTGCATATCTTTATAGATCTGTTGGTAAAATATACGTTAAAGAAAAAAGAAGGGAAGGAGGGAGCTCATCCTGTTATAGCATCCGCCTCTTGCTTTCTCTACCTAACAATGATTATGTCACCATCAACGTCAACCCACTTCCCTCTTCCTTGTTCTTTGTAAGCTCTGCCTAGTCTCTATTCCCTCCTAACAATGACTACGTTCACCATCCACGTCAGCCCATCTCTCTCCTCCTTGCTCTCTCTAACCTCTGCCTAGTCTCTATTCCATCCTGGACTTTTCCATCCACATCATTAATGTCACTCCAGCAGATGCCTGCACCTGCTAACTACTCTGTGAAATTCTCAGAAGGGAGCCCTGAGGACATGGGGTTTGAAT